CCTTTTCCAATCACACTACATAGTAGTTTCTTCTTCTTTGAGTGAACCTTGTAAGAGTTGGAACCCGTTGTTGAGCGCTATCTTGAATTGCCTGAGTTTGTTAGTATCTCGAAGGAAGTCTGTACTAAACCTTTATAATTCTGTTCCGCCAGTTCTCCAGTGTTTCTTTAGCTTCAGTTTCATCTCAGTCACAACCAGGTGGTGATCTGAAGTTGTGTCAGCTCCTCTCCTGGTTCTCATGTCTTCCATTGTCCTCCTGAATTCTGGTTCGCGGTAGTGTAAGACCCATGTAGATTTGTGTATGCGTTTGTGGGGTAATATTTTGCCACCTACAACCATTTTTTGAATCCACATAGATTTGCAAATCTCTCACCATTATCGTTTCTTTCTCCCAGTCCATGTCGTCCCATATCTTTATACCCGGTGTCGCACACTCCGACTTTGGTGTCTAGGTATCCTATCAGGGTGGTCAGGTCCCTTCACGGGAACTTCTCTACGACTGAATGCAGCCTCTCCTAAGACTGATTTTTATCGACACCGTTGCTATCATTAGTGGATAAATAATACTGCATAACGTTCATTATGATTCCTATATTCTTTGTTTGGAAGGGTGCTTTGATGATCCTAGATCCATGAGATTACCATTCTATACGCGTATTTCGTGATTGTTTGGACAGCATTACACCAACGCCATGATTGTTTAAAGCACTTATCTCTTCGCGACCGCAGTACAACAGCATCCTTCCTGTACCTAGCTCTTGCTGCCCAGCTTGTATCCAATGGGTTTCACTGATTCCGAGCACAGTCAAGTTGTATCTCCTCATTTCCGTAGCTACTTGGAACCAGCAGTAACTCTAGAAGAGCTACAGGCGGATTTCGGTGGTAGAATAAAGCATATTTAACAACTTAGTAGCCAGTTAAGTATTTCTACGCTTCCTTTGGTAGTTTTGAAATACAACATGGTTGCGTAAACCAAATGATCTGAAATTGGATTCGAATTTACAAAAATCAATGGTTTATAATTTTTATATCCAAATCACTGATCTTTTTTATATTAATACTAGAAGGGATTTAAATTATCCCATAATGGCTCAGTGGATAATGAGTTTTGTCCGGAGTGAAGGTTATTGGATCCGAGTCTCAGTGTGAACATCAACATTGGGATGCAGGTAAATCTAACTGACAGGTTCGAAATAGGACAAAAGCCGCGTAATGGATTCCATTACTGGCTAAAATCTACCTATTCTGTATGAAACACTGCTCTTCTTTCTCTGCTGTTGTTAAATACAGCCGTTTCGCGAACAAAGGTTAATTCCAATCAATTTGTGTGTGCTTTACAACTAAATGAATAGCAACGTTAAAAATTATATTTAAAGACTATAAAGTGAATGACCAAAATGCTAATTGATATCGATTACAACATCACATCCTTTCACATCTGCATTTTATATTCGTATAGACGCTCATTACTATGCAATAATAATTTTGTAATATATGATGCAAAATAAAGAAAGGTTAACAAGAAATGATACCCAATGAGCGAAAAGATTCGATGCGACATGTGTATAAATACAAAGATAAACATCATATATATGCTGTAGAAAAGTTTATCGGAAATAACTCATCTAAATGAGGTGAAATAAAATGTAAGTCAATAGACGATTCATAAACTTATTTTTAATGGTTATATGTGTTAGATTGTGACTTTCAATTATTGATGTTTCATGCCCCCAAATTCAGCTACATTGGTCACAGCTTACTTCTGTAGTTTCACACTATAAAGATGTAGTACCTAAGCAATGGAGTGAAATTTTACATTGTTACTGAATTGTATTATTGGTATTATTTTAATAGAGGAGATTCATAGAAATTTGACCCAAGGTTTTATCACAAAATGATGAGAGTTATATAGGGTTAGTGAAAATCCAGGAGGATTGCACTGGCGTTTTGTCCTAGATTGGGATTAACTTCACCAAAGCATTAAGTCTAGTGATAAAACCACAATATCTTAGGATCATTTAGTTAAGATCTATTGGTTCAAGCTCTTGACTTCAAGCCAAATGATGATATATCATGATCATCATCCAATACTATCAGTGAGAAGTTTCACTTCAATGTTAATACTAAGTTATATGTTAATTTGGGATCAAAATTATACTTCAAATTATTATCATTATCATTATGCACACCATTGTAGGTAAAAGAGCAACTTAATGATTCAATCATAAACAAGGTAGAAATCGGTACATAGTAATAAGTTTTTAATTAACGCATTTACCAAGTACCTGGGTATGAGTAACACTGAATGTGAAAGCTAATGATGCTACCCGATTGTCCAGACAGAAGTAGATGGGTGGGGGTTCATATCTGTGAATAAGTAGGTGAAAGTAGAACGCCCTAAACATTAGCCATATATGCGTATCTGATCAAACTGATACACCATATTAGCACAGCGAAGTCAGTTTATGAAATCAAATACCAGAATAGCGGAAGTAGTAATAGTATCAGTAGTAGTAAGAGAAAATGCGTGGAACTAAGTGTCAGACAAATTTAGAACTCAAAATCTATAAAAAGACAGGAATTAGACGTATCTTGACTATTAAGATAAATTCAGAGAAACGTCATACATCTCTAACTCAATAATTGACAACTTTAAAAAATACAAATATTATGTAAAATTCAAAATATGTAAAACTAAAAGGTTTCAAATGTACATCTTATAGGTAAGTTAAATCATAAATATATAACCGGAATAAAGCTTTACTTGTATACAGAGACATTCTGTTTAAAAAGAATATCTTATTAGCTACAAGACTATTAGAAGTAGATGAATACAATGATATACAAATTAGGATACTTAAATGTATAGTTAGTAATATGATTCAAAAAGAGGAATTTTAGATATCTTACCGATTAGTTATACCAAGTTACGTTTAGTTCAGTCACGAAAATAGATGTTTTAAAACAGACTCACGATTTAGGAATATTTCGCTTTTTTCGACGTGAGTTAACTAACATCATTAGTGTTAATTACTAAAGGGGTTTATAGAGATTGTTGAATTTCATGACAGTCCGTGATTGTTAATATTAGTTGTAAATTTCTAATATTATGGAATAACTTAGCAATTATTAAGCATCTCAGATAACGGTAATTAATCGAGAGTTCTGAGATACTCTCTAACTTACAAAATGAAGTACTATTCGGCATGATTAAGATTCAGTTATACATATTGTAAGACCTGATCATAATTAGAAATTTTCCTATAATTGTGATAAAAGTACAATTCTAACATACTCTTTACACAACCTACCTTTAACCACACTTTAAATACTAAGGTTGGTGATACCGCCCAGGTATCTAAACCCCAGTAGATGGAGCAAGAGTCGAACTCAATGGTTGAGAGAGAGAGCAGTGGTTCAACGGCTACGGTATTCGACTAAGCCGCAGGCTCAACCCCCGTTTAGTGAGGTAGTATTACCGGCTAGGAGACAGATACATGCACCTGTTCACTGGTAAATAAGCAAGAATTTCAACCGAAAAGCAAGGACTCAGTTATTTACTTAACTGATTTATGGCCCGTATGACTTAATACTGTTGGTCATTGATGTTTTGGAAAATCGACTATTATACGGAGGATGAAAGTATGGTTTTGTTAATTTCCCTTTATAATCATTCCACAAAGAATAATTTTCATCTATACGAGTCATTTTCTATGAAACTAACCATTTCGACCATATTTGAAAAATAAAACACTTAAAAGTATATTGCTTCTTTTCTTCTCAAGACAAATATTTCCCAATAGAGATTACCGTAAAAGAAACAATGGATAATTCTGGCGATACAATAACATCAAACATTAATGAACAAGGTGTCAAAGAACCATTATATAAAAACTACCTTTTCGTATTTATGATTGCTGGTTTAATAACAATGATTCCTTTGATTATTATCAACATAGCAGTAATGATGAAAAAACGATTATCAAGAATATGTCGTATATTATTACTTTGCATTTGTCTGTCACTTGGATCTTGTGTCGGTGCATTAGCATTTACGCATTATGCATTAGGACCGATTGATATAACTTTAACTAAAGGTGACCAAGTACTTATTGGTGAGCCAACAAATGGATTTCTAATGAATATACATGAATTACGTTCACTGACATGTAATCATCTAGAAATCCGATCGAACAAATTAAAAATTCGTGTTTGGACAACACCTATATCACCACACTATGGACCATTACAGAATTACAGTTTAGTTATACGTAACTGGAGTTTGCCAACGTTTACTCACCTTCGACTTAATAGTGGTGATGCCATTTATGCGCATAATTTTTCTCATCCAACACAAATAATCATTCTTAAAGGTGAAGAATCTATGCAACGATGGATCAAAACCGGTTCATATAAGAGGGGTTATGAGAAATGCTGTTCATGGTATATTCTACAGACAGATTTAGAGAATAGACAACAAATAACAATTGAACAGAATGACGTATACACTTTAATAATGAGAACATCCGCATCGATAGTCAATTATTCATATCATTTAAACGAACCATCGACAGTAGGAAGCGGATATATTGATTTATTTCGTACACGTTGGGCACCTAACCCTTGTGATCCAGTCATTTGTGATGGTACAACAACAACTCTATGCAAAATAAAGTCATCTCCGAAAAGTTACATAATCGACTATACGGTAGAGACAATGACGGCGCCAAACCTTGACTACGCAAATGTACACATAATTTGTTATCCACGTCATTGGATATTAGGGATCATGTTTAGTTTACCAACTATTGTAATTGTAAGTCTGATTCTTATAATGCATAGATGTATCAAAAAACAAAAGAAACAGTTTAAATTCTCTGATACAAGTATTCAACAAACACCTTTTACTGACTTCAGTATTAAACAAACAAAAGGCAAATATACAGCTTCTAATGAGAACCAAAATCATGCATTTGAATTTGATCTAGTGTGAAACTTACTGGTAACTGGTTTGTCTTACAACACTTTGTTTTAGTTGCCGTTATAATCGATGACATTATTGATGATTTTATATTTTTATTACCATAATGAAGCGCTTCTAATGCTGATAACTGTAAATCGTCAGCGTAATTATTTAGTTTTTCATCTAAGAAATCACATAGTTTTGCTCCAAAACCTTCTAAAATTGTACATTCTTTTCCACTTTGCAACAATAGTGGATATTTTTTAAGCGAAGAAAGAGCCTAGAAAAGAAAGTAATAAAGTCCATAAAACAAACTATTAATTTCCTACCTTTCTGTAAGCATAGTATGATTTGGCATCTTTTGCAAATGCATTTTCCATAGCTTCGGTTATCCACCTCTGAAATAAAAGATTTGGTCCACCATCGATCTTTTTCTTCTTCCGACTACGATAAAAAGTATATTGGATGAGTTATGTGTGCTAGATGAAATTTATGATTTTTAATTTTTTGGAAAACATAGAGTATTTATAATTTCGAATGCTGAAATTTTGAAAGTAAAAAATAATCGGATGAGATTGTGTAAGATTTGGCATAAAGGTGCACTGATCGGTAGATTGACATAAACCTGAAACAGATTGGTTATCGATTCTACGTAAGTATAACGTAGAACCTGGTGAATGTGTACATCAGTTCAAGTTGCCATACCTCATTAGTACAGCGAGATAAAATTGCTAGTATATATAATGAAGCAGCATCATAGGTAGGAACAGTATTAGTGGTAATTGAGAAGATTAGGCATTGAAGACAAGATTCAAGAAGAAAATATGGATTTATCCAATAAAATAATTTGTAAGGTAATTTAAAAAGTCAGGATCTAAGGGAAGACAAAGGGTGAATGCACCTACGCGATAACGAACGATTCTAAACCATTTCGCTCAAAGTCCTTAATCATTGGTTACGATAATCACCTAAAATTTATCTATTAGTCTGAACCTGCGTACATGGCTTACTTCTTTGTGTCTATGAGGTTGAATAAGGATGGGAGAAGTTGAAAACCCTGGAAAAAACCACTTCCCGCTGAAGTCAAGAATTATTATTATTATTATTTAAACACATAAATATTGGTACAATGAAGCACCAGATAAATATGCGCCTCACAAATCTCATTCGATTTGTGTGAGGGCTGTGATACTGCCCAGGTGCCCAGACTGAAGCAGGTGGTTTTCTTAGGGGGCCACAACCGGAGCCTTTGACCTTAATGTCTGATCCACAAGGCAATGGAGCATCGTGAGGAGATGCAGTACAATGGTAGCCGTTGACCAATGACAGGTTCGTCCGCCATTCGTTCCATTAGGATACTGGAGCCCATGTGCACCATTGGTTTGGAATCAGGGTTTTCCAACTCCCCTAGGTGGACCCTCCGTGTCCACCAACCCGGTTAAAGCGCCGGACATTCGCTTTTCGTCCTCTCACTTTCGTAAACAACACCCCTGCCACGAGAAGGCAGTGAGTAGGACTTCCCTGGCAGAGGCTATAAAATAATTAAAAGAAGGGAAAATATATTTTGCTCCTTTGTTCACACTGCCTCCTCCTCTATTTTTCTAGGGTTCATCTTTATTTACCACTTTTTGTTTCCCTGGAAGAACCGAAAATGCAAAAGCACTAACAAGTTTAGGATCAACTGCCTAACAACTTGTTACTGAAGTTTGACTTCAAACGCTAATGAAGGAAAATCTCTATTTTGAGAAGCAGATGCATTGAGAAAAATTGCGTCGACACAAGGGATTCGTCACGTCTCCTTTAAACACTTTCCGACCTTATCCTTACTAACTACAACTAAATGGCATGACCTTTAATTGAAAATATTGCAAACAGATGTGCAAACTGAATAACCATACATTATCTTTAATTTTCATAAGATCTAATGGTTGATGAGTGAATAGTTAAGCAAACGGAAAAAACGATAATAGAGATCAATAGGGGGAAATAAAAATGATACCATGGAATGGATAAAGGGGAAACGCGCCAAATATTCGGCTTTTCGCGTATCCGGGGGAAACAGTGAGAATTTTTTGCTAGATGTTTCTTTGGAGATGTTTCAGAATCCGCACTAAATGGTTTACTTTTCGCCCAAATCTACGCCTAGCTATTTGCTTCACTTGTTTAAGTCTGTCTGGCTACCTAGTTCATAAACCTTTAGCAGGGTAACGTCAAAAATATCTAGATGCATTAATTCGTTAAGTAGACTTTTTAGTAACCCACGGTTGTGGTTAAAGAGTTCCAGAAGGAAAAATACCTTTTAGATGAGAATGAGATACTCTTGTTACATGATCGCGAATTGCATACAGTTTTACAAAACTTAACTTCCGTCATGTCCGATTCGACTGCTAATGTTCTTCAGTTTATGTTATGCTTTGATCGTTTATTAAGTATCGAGACTACTGTCTCACTTTAAATGAATCAGTTCCAGTCAAAATATTACCAAGAGTATCATCTTTTTATCAAAAAGGTCTTTTTACCTTTGAAATCTTATCAAGTGCCACAGTTTTTCTGTTTTTTTGCACTTTTTGAACTTGACAGTTCTTGGCTCGTTTTCTTTTAACTTTTTGCCCAAATATTTTGGTTATTCGTTTTAATCTGTATGTTTTTTCTAAGTTACATGAAAATCTTTGAGTGATGACTGGACAGTGTAAAAGAAGTAACTGTCAAAACTGAGATTATAAATATCCGGTGGATAGTGATATGCAGTGTGACGAGTGCAAAGGGTGGTACCACGAAGTCTACACTAATTTAACACCTGCAGCTCTTAAAAGACCAGAAGAAGAACAGATGGCAAAGAGGTCTGTCAGAAATAAGAACCCAAGTAAGCGGATAACAAAGCGAGTTCCTTCTGTCTCCCGCTCTCTAAATAGCAAACTCGATCAAGAGCCTAGGTCTCCTTTAGCAGGAAAAATGACAGGAAACATGACTTGAGCGTAACACAACTGTGATTTTTACTCCAGTGAATTTTAACGGATGGACATAAAAATGAGTGAAAAATAACCTGATATCACGAAGCGAAAGCCGGATTCCTTGACTGTAATTAGGGAATAAAAGAAGGATTATGGTGAAAGGTCGGTCATTTTTCATAGAATCTCCAAAAGCCCTGGTGAGGCCAAGAGTGGGAAGTCAGTTAGCTACAACGTAGGACCAGGCACATGTGTGCATTGGGTGAGGAAGGTTCGCTTTCCTTCTTGAAATGCTCTCACAGAGCCATAAGTATACAGCCACTGTCAGGGAAGTCTTACTCAATGCTTTCTCGCGATGGGGTTGTTGTTTATGGCATTGAAAAGACGAAAAGCGAATGTTAGAAGCTTTAACTGGGATGGTCGGTACAAAGAACCCATCAAGGGCAGTTGGAAAACCCTGATACCAAACCAATGGTGCAGTATCATGCGAGACGAGATCAACTAAACCTATTCCCCTCGTGATACAAAAGGACTAGAAAAGACTTGATCAGTCTATAAATCACTTTATAATATTTTTGTGATCAACACCTTTACTTATCTTGTCTTTAAGGATGAAGACTTCACTGGAAAATTACAAAACATTTACTAGCCAATATGACTATCGACCTTCAATTCGAATCAACGAATGGGACCCCTTACCTCAACAAGTAGTTAAGTATCCTTCCAAAAGTTAGGTCACCTGAGACTTTATCTTCAGAACCAACACAAGACGTTTAGATTCCTGTCCTTTCTCAAACTGAAACTGACTTATATTGTATTATTAATTTCCAAACAGATCGTTTACTGAGCACGTATCAACTTTTCACTTTAGTGTGGCATGCAGATAACTATATAACTCAAGTTAAACTTACGCGGTATAGGTTCGCATGAATTTCCACTTCCTCAATAAATTCCTTGATAAACCACTGATTTGTCGGTACACATTTTACTGAATTTCGTTTACGACAATAATACTTAAAGCGGAATTTATTGATATTTTCATGTCGTAAATACTTTTCTACAAGTTGATTGAAATCTCAGGTAACATAAGTCTCTGAATACATGCATAATATTTTTAAATCCAGTCATTTGTATTACTCAGAGCAAAAATCAAGGCATATTGAATCTAATTAGTTCGTCGACAAAGCATAGGCTTGTCGATGCGGACTAAATAAAGCTTAAAAAATGGGTAAAACTTACTTAGCCAGTGTGTTCATCTTCCTGATGCATTAATGAACAGACTAGAAAATTTATTCCAGGCGGAATTCCTGCATATGCAAAAGGCCGAAACTGGACCTTGAAGTACTTTACTATGAAGCATTCAAACATCTCCGATGAAACAATAATGACAAACAGAATAAGTAAACTTTTCACTGTATTTGAAGAAATTTGTTGTCTTTCGTCTGCTAATGCTGTCTAGTGCAACCAAGTAATAGAATCCATTACGCGGCTTTTGTCCTATTTCGAACCTGTCAGTTAGATTTACCTGCATCCCAGTGTTGATGTTCACACTGAGACTCGGATCCAATAACCTTCACTCCGGACAAAACTCATTATCCACTGAGCCATTATGGGATAATTTAAATCCCTTCTAGTATTAATATAAAAAAGATCAGTGATTTGGATATAAAAATTATAAACCATTGATTTTTGTAAATTCGAATCCAATTTCAGATCATTTGGTTTACGCAACCATGTTGTATTTCAAAACTACCAAAAGAAGCGTAGAAATACTTAACTGGCTACTAAGTTGTTAAATATGCTTTATTCTACCACCGAAATCCGCCTGTAGCTCTTCTAGAGTTACTGCTGGTTCCAAGTAGCTACGGAAATGAGGAGATACAACTTGACTGTGCTCGGAATCAGTGAAACCCATTGGATACAAGCTGGGCAGCAAGAGCTAGGTACAGGAAGGATGCTGTTGTACTGCGGTCGCGAAGAGATAAGTGCTTTAAACAATCATGGCGTTGGTGTAATGCTGTCCAAACAATCACGAAATACGCGTATAGAATGGTAATCTCATGGATCTAGGATCATCAAAGCACCCTTCCAAACAAAGAATATAGGAATCATAATGAACGTTATGCAGTATTATTTATCCACTAATGATAGCAACGGTGTCGATAAAAATCAGTCTTAGGAGAGGCTGCATTCAGTCGTAGAGAAGTTCCCGTGAAGGGACCTGACCACCCTGATAGGATACCTAGACACCAAAGTCGGAGTGTGCGACACCGGGTATAAAGATATGGGACGACATGGACTGGGAGAAAGAAACGATAATGGTGAGAGATTTGCAAATCTATGTGGATTCAAAAAATGGTTGTAGGTGGCAAAATATTACCCCACAAACGCATACACAAATCTACATGGGTCTTACACTACCGCGAACCAGAATTCAGGAGGACAATGGAAGACATGAGAACCAGGAGAGGAGCTGACACAACTTCAGATCACCACCTGGTTGTGACTGAGATGAAACTGAAGCTAAAGAAACACTGGAGAACTGGCGGAACAGAATTATAAAGGTTTAGTACAGACTTCCTTCGAGATACTAACAAACTCAGGCAATTCAAGATAGCGCTCAACAACGGGTTCCAACTCTTACAAGGTTCACTCAAAGAAGAAGAAACTACTATGTAGTGTGATTGGAAAAGGATCAAGAAAGCACTAATTTCAACGGGTCAGGAGACTCTGGAACACAAGAAATACCGTTATAAGCAATGGATCTCTATGGGAGACCTGAACAAGATTCAGGAAATGAAGAACAAAAAGACAGCAATCAATTACAGTTGAACAAGAGCAGAGAATGCCGAGGCACAAACAAATTCATAAAGGCAAACAAGTTAGTGGAGAGAAGCAATATAGCCGACAAGCGGAAGACCCAGCATCGACAACAGAAATTGCTGTGAGTGAAGGAAATGCGAGATATATACAAAATATTAAAAAAACTAATTCCGAAAGGGTAGGCACACGCCATTTTTAAAGGCATGATCTATAATTTACAAAATTGTCTCACATATAAGATGCTTTCCAATTAGGATTGGTAAATACATGAAATCAATAAAGATAAAATGCAGCTGATTCGTGCAGATATCTCAGAGAGTTGATAAATAGGTTTGTGCTTTAGTATTGAACTATGAGTACAGATTTTATGATGTCTCAAAAATGATATTGCGTCCAACATGCAACCGTGGGAAACGCATATCTGAACCAAATAAATAACAATTTCCACATAAATAACAGTGGATTACGCATACATCTATAAACACTATTTTGTTTAGTGATAACTGATATTATTTATGATGTGATTGTCAGCTGAGTCAATTGGTATCACGATGATAAATACTAACAATGAAATATGATTTACTCTGCATCGTATGTTAATCATGCTTGTAAATGTTGGCCATATGACTATAAATTAAAATTGAATAACCTGTCTGTCGTACATCGAATTTATTTCAGTTAAAGTATTCGCTAAGAGTATCGTTTTTGTTTCTAAGGTAGTTTATCGTCCGTACTTTTGAGTAGTCTGTTTCTTTTGTATGTTTTACCACTTTTAGCTGTAAAAACTTAAAATTTTTCCACTTTCTTGGTCATCGATTTCTTTTGTCTCCGTGTATTTTTGTATATGGTTTCTTTTTGAAAACCTCTGTTTGATGGTTGGTTAGTACAAGAAAAGCGATTACCGACGCCCAGGCTGTCGACATCTTGTTGAAAGCGGCATGCAGTGCGACGAGTGCAAAGGATGGTACTACGAAGGTTGCACGAATCTAACGCCTGAAGCTTTCAAACGGTCCAGTAAAATGGATTCGTATGGTCTTGTCACCAGTGCCGCTCGGATGCAAACAGCTTGCCGACCGAGTTCATTTCAATGGTGAATGCTACTAAAATGTGTAATGTCAAACGAGGTCGAGATACATTGGACAGCACTCACTCTGTCGATACACAAATTGATGTAAAGTCGCCTCAAGCTTAAAAATAGTTGACTTAAATGAATCAAAAGAGGAAAGACCGACTTCATAGAAGTTTACTCTGTCTCCCGTCCTCTAAATGGTAGCCGACGGGAAATGCCTAAGAAACGCAGTTGCAAGGCCAAATCTGTCTCAAGCAGGAAAAACAACGTGACTGCTCAAGTCGTCGATTATCTTCCAGAATCCCACAGTATGTTTCATGCGACTGTAGTTGCCACTCCAACGAAATTTGATGAATGGGTACAGGTCGATGACAAAGTTGAAGAGAAATGGTGAGATCGGGCAACCCTATCTAACCCCACTGGTTGAATGGAACAATGTGGTTGTATGCCCGCATTCTGCCTGAGGTATTTGTATACAGGGCCGTTAAGATGTTAATAAACTTCTCAGACACACACCTCTTCAATAAACAATCCCAGAGAACAGTCCTGTCCAACGAATCGAAGGCAGCCCTGATATCAAGAAACACTATTATTGTTGGCCTGTGATAAGTATGACGATGTCCTAACATTTGGTGGAGGGTGAAGATATGACCAATAAACACTGTCTACCTAGTACTACGGCACCACTAGAGACTGTTCATAAATCTGCAAGAAAAATCATATCGATCTACACTGATGCATCTCCACATAGATATTACTTCATCATCATACTATCAGTGCTAAAATTAGCATGAAATAGATTTCATTGAAAATTGACCTTCGTAGTGTTTGGTACGACTATAAGCTTACATGATTTGTCCTAACGTTTGAACAGACTTTAATAACTCGGACAGCATATGACATTGAATTATTTTGACCTTCATAATAATTCTGTTCTTTTGTAACGTTCAGCACACACATGCTCCTTATCCTTTTGTCCTTGTAATTCTACGCTTATGTGTACTTGCCTATCACTCATTATCTTATCCAAGCCTGTTTCTTTGCTACACTATGCATTATCTATTTTAAGGTATATTAACGCTTTTAACATGTAGCGTAGCGAGTAGGCATGTTTACCTTCGTCTATTTTAATGTTTGGCTGAGTAAACGAATGCCTGAAATAAACTCATCTAACTCGACCCGTATTTGGCTATATATTACATCCGTTGGCACTAACGGGGTTAACCTAGGTGGGATATAAGAGAGAGATTTACGTTCAGGACATATTTATTTATTCATATCAATCGTAGTCAGATACTGGACAGAAAAGCCTTAAGGAAGTGTTATCTTGAACGTCAACAAAAAATAACCAGCTATTTTGGATACGAAACTATATCAAGATTCTTGATGTTCTCGTAAACTGAGAAGTGCTAGCTGAACAATGAAGAAACTACGTAACTAGGTATCAATAAATGCATCATAACCCGGAAAACTAGCATGACCGAAGGATATACCTAGTCGAGATCATAAACCAATCCCTACAGCATGATCACTCTCCAAGCCAGACGCTCAATATACTTCTAAGATTTTTAGTTAATTTATAGTTGCACAGGAATTGTGATTAAAGCCGATCCTTTGTTTTTCCTAACAGTAGCCTCGTTAGAGTGAACCAATCTAATTGAGATCACAATGGTTCAGTTGAGGGTTTGGAATAAGATTGACGAAGATTTGAAAACGATTATGAGAATGCCGTAGAAATCGTAGATATGATCAAGATAAGTAAGAGGCAGATTAATTTTGATACGAGGTTGGCTAAACAAAGTGTCATTAACTTCGAAGAAGTTACGAAAAAGCTGCATCAACCCTTATATCCTCGCTTTCCATAGTTTATTCACATTCTTCATTAATAGTAATAAAAATTTATAAGTTCATCGTTTTCAACTAAGATCCTCTTCTAGTCAGCTCCAAAATCACTAATGCAGAGTCACATTGCGAAATGTTATGAAAAATACTACTACTTCTTACTTTTTTATGACTCTTTCTTTTGATTTTATATATATCCAGTCTTAACTAGTAAATTACATCAATACTTTTCATATGTAACATAGATGATACTTAACTATTCGTTTGTTTTTATTGAAAATTATTGGTATCCCTTAGTGTACAATTGTGTAAGCAACGTAGTTGTATTACATTGCATTCATCTTTATACTAACATAATCTACCAATATTAAAACAGTACAAAAATATCAACTTCATGAAGAAAAAAAACACATTTATAACTATCTCTTCATTTGATAAATCACATTTCGAGCCAAATATAATAAACAAACAAAAATCAATAAAAGCTGTATCAGACTTGTATAATTTTATACTGAAAAATCATTTTTTTTTCCTTTAGATCAATCACCAATAAAAACAAGAAAACTTGGCATGATAAAAATTTGTCAATATACAGAACAATCAAAAAAAAAAAGAATTAGGCATACAAATTATAATGAGGAGAGTGTATATCATTAAAATATTGAATAAAAAGAGATCGATTAGTGAAGAGTAATCTGAGAAGAAGACAATAAGTAAAAAACAAGAACGAGGTAACAACGCATGATAAAAGTTGATTAAATACTTAATAGTTTGTCATTCTATAGAATTGGAAGTAAAGCGAAGAATATTGAGGTTCTATACTTTTGAATCAGCTAAATATATATTCGTTTTTGTTTCAAATTATTTTGATATATTTAAATATACAGTATTGCCTAGATATATAAAGTCAACTATGAATGAATTTGTCAACTTTTTCATCCTAAAAAACAAATAAAAAAAATGTTCTAATTTATCATTCAAGTCATAAATTAAAATGGAATTATCAGAATAGGTTTTGTGGAGATTTAGTATTTTCATAGTTGAAAGCATGAGTAGACCACTATGGAAAACCTGGAAGTATTGGACGGCTGTTTCGTCCTACTATGGGACTCCTCAGCAGTGCGCATCCACGATCCCGCACTCGCAAGATTCGAACCCAAGACCTACCAGTCTCAAGCCAGAGCTTTTAACCGATAGACCACTGAGCCGGCATCTAACGGTGTTAATGTCTAACTTCAACTGATCGACGAAGTTGAGCAACCGTTCACCGATCGTCTTCAGTCAGTTGATATCTCACGATAGACGTGGTTTGAACTCCACTGGTCGACCAGTGCTTCCAGGTTTTCCATGGTGGTCTAGCTTCAATTGACTCACACTTTCAACTATAAAATGGAATTGTTAACATAATCAGAAATTATTTGGAAGAAAGAGGATTGATACTAATCCTGTTGTTACGTTGCATAATATATAAAACAGAAGAAAGAACTAACAAAATATTTTGATGAATGGTCAGTAATATAGTAGTAGTAGTTCTGAAAAAGCTATTGTTCCTAAAGTTACAATTCTTAAATGATGCTACAGAAGAAATCGTGACACAGAGATTAAGAAAGGCAGTATAGAAAACATTTAATGCAGCTCGACTGAGTACCGTCTTCTACAACCGCCACACAATAAGAACGGTTAATAAAGACAGATTGCCTAAATTCGCCACATTTATGTGTATTTACCATTCAACTGCTCCTATGAAACCATTTATATAGGGCGTACAATTCGGCAAGTTCATCAACGAATAACAGAACATCATCGGTCGTGGTTGAGCAAATGACAGGTAATAGTGATTAAGAGTTCCATTCTCGCTCACTTGGTGGACACAGGTTATCAATTTGAACTGAATACTGCTTTTAAGGTTATCTACCATATTCCATCAAATTAGCCACATGGTTTACGAGCTCGTCTATTGCACATAGCTGAAGCCATCGCAAGTCATATTCACAAACCGAACCTTTGTATCCAAAAGAAGTTTGTACAACCACTCTCACTACCTTGGCCATCGGTATAGCGGAGTTTGTAGCAGAATTTCGGTAAACAATTATCTTATTCTTTCCATTTGTGTATTTTACTTATTCTCTACATTTGTCTCTTGATTCTTACATAACTACTATATTACTGACCATTCATCAAAATATGTTATTAGTTCTTTCTTCTCTTTTTATATATTACGCAACGTAGCAACAGCTTGATTTTCGAATAATTACTTTGATTAGTATTAATCCTCTTTCTTCCAAATAATTAATGTCAGTTTATAATCGATATGTCATTATACAATTATTACGTAACGTATCTACTCCATGAGTGTTATTTCATAATAAGAAATGATTAATTGGATTAACTATGATTAGTTATCATAACCATGAAGGTAATTTATGAATAAATAACAAAGAAAATTTTTGTTACTTGGTTAAGACTTTGTATCATGATTTCAACTGATAGGTGATAAAAATCTGGAAGGTCGAAATACCATTGGCAAACGCTTACGCTCATGAAGACAAAATATAGATGGGTACTATATGAAGTTACCAATCAGTTTGATTCAGTGTACAAGCACAATACAAGGCTGGGATTGGTGCTAGTTTAGATAAATATGCAGAAGTAAACAATCAAAAGGGCACTCAGTAAATTAACCTAATCGGTTGTCTACATTTCAAAACAATTAGATTGTTGAGGAAACAATTGTAAGACCAACTCAGCTAATCTGACAATAATACCGTACCAGCAACGCTAACACCAAACATGAAGTGTTGAAGATAAACGTTGAAGTTCTTAAGGCAGTGACACGCAAATCATGTTTTGATAACTCTAAGGGAAAATTTTACATACACTAGATACAGGTCATACAAAAACGTGACATCAGTCCATGTTGTAGACAAAGAATGCTTTTCGTTGGAATCCTGGCGATTATCTTGAGCAGTAAATTTAGATGTTGCACCAAAATCAGACATGGTAGGACAGATCCATTCACTTTTGCTCACCCTTACATTATGAAGTCGAATTATTTTATAAATTTTACTGGATGAGTTTATTCTTTCTTATTGAACCACAATACTACATGATCAATCACTTTGAACTAAAACTGATACTATAACTTCTCCTACTACATTGGTATTTATCTTGACTGACTATCTTGGTGTGATATCGCAAGTTGGCCAGATGTACACATGTGACAGGTACCATGTAGCTGATGACTGACTAATTGACTACAGAGTATATAGATCAATGTCGAATGAATGGTTTGAAATTGAACTACTGTTACCTGGACATTCATGTTGAATGATACAAACAACTTTAAGAAAAAAACACTTTTCCCAAATTATAGGATAAGTTAATTTTGTGAAAGTGCATTGAAAATCAATCATAGAAATCCAGGATGTACCTGTGTTACTGTGAGTAATTCTGAAGCCATATCACCTAATATTCCCAACCACTGGTCACGATAATTGCGTGGACCTCAATCAGCTGGTCTGTACCAATTAACATAACTTAAATAAACATAGACTGAATTTAAGTTTTGGTTCTGGACGTCACTAGTTCTCTCTTTAAACCTACTTTTACAACAGCCAACATCAATTCATAATGTTCGGTTTTTTGAAGTCATAGTCATACCAAATAGTATGGTTTACAGTTGAGCATACGATCCGGTTTCTTAACTACCGTGTTACATTAATTTTTTTGTTTACAGATAGATAATGTTTACATTTTGGTGATATGAATAATTTGAGCTTACCTCAGTGGTATCTGAATCTGTATCACTTTCAGTATTCAATTCATCATTAATCATATTTACATCACCAAGATAGGCTGAAATTGCAGTAGACAAGATAAAGAAATCAATCGATCAAGTATTAAATTAAGGAGAAAAACTTCATGAGATTGGTTCCCTTTTATGAAACATAAACGAAACAAGAATAGTATTGTTTGCAGAGTAAAATGAATTCATTGTTGGTTTGTTGCTTTCTCTCCAGCTACATATAAGCAAGTAAGTCTAATCGGTAAGCACAAAATGTACAACTGAAAAATGTTGAGATGTTAACGACAAATTTTAATAAATTATGTATAGAAGAAAATGAAAGATTTCTCAAAAAATTATGTTTCTATATTACTAATGGACTTTTCCAGGTTTTTTTATGGGCTATTATGTCTTCCATCTACAAACCATTCTGTAAAGAGATTTATTCATATAGCTCGCTAAATGTTTTCCTTGTGACCCTTTATAAAGGTGTTAATGGTTCCTTAGTCGGCTCTGTACCGTTTCAGAGTTATTTGTGTGGACCCCAGTTGTCGGGTCAACATAGGCTTGTGTGCTATAGTGGTTTCTGAGAATATCCAAACCATCTAAGATACTTGTGCTTTCTCCGGTCATCAGTGTAGATAGTGGTGTTATATTGGATATATTTCTAAATAGCTGGGACGAGCATTTATGCTAATTTATTCGGCATTTTCTCAAATATCCTTTTAACACTATCCCATATGCCTAAAGCCTACTATAATTAGATAGGTCTACTACTTAACCAGTTCACTTTCATTTCCCTCCATCTACTGCATATATGCTTGAGTAATACTGTTGCATAGATTTCTAGTAATCTACCAACTTCGCTGAAAGTCACCTCCATTCGCATTATTGATTCTCGATGTATTTGTGCTACTGTATACCAGGTACTTCTGAAAAATCTATCATAGCTCGTGCAACCGACATTGGGTTCCTGAGGCACAATACATCACTAACACAACATAATTTGCTTTATTGTCAGCTTATAATAGATGGAGAAAGATCCTTTTCTTACTAGCTTTTTATACAATATCCATCGCAACGAAATACCAAGATATATATATATATATATATATATATATATCAGGGGTTTCTACAGTTACATCATCATCTCGTCTTCACAATCATACATGATTGTTTTCCATAACAATGTAAAGTATTTTAAGTCGATGGTCAATATCATTCTTCCCTAAGGTTAGATAAACATTACGATTGATTAGAGACTGACCAGTTGCAGTCCTAACAAATCGATGGGAAGATTCAAACAAACAATACTAAGTCGAATTACGATTGATTGATATATGTGCTGTGATGCTGAAGAGGTTTTCTAGTTCTTCACTGATTCGGCTTTATATTTTAGACCTACCGTTTAGTAACTTCCCACTAAATTACTTAGAGTGCTAGTTCTAGAATTGTCTAAGGTAACTTTTCTTATTAAGTAATATAATAAGAATATAGAGGATTTAAAAAAAAAAGACGTGTAAATTAGACTTATCAGGTTGTAATTACAATTAATTGAAGAGAAAATAAGTCAGAAATGATTGGTTCTCCTTTGTTACCAAGGCAGGTGGAAGTTAATCACTGACTATTTTTAAATACACAGGTTAGAGGTTTAAGTTAAAGCCAATTAAAAACTTATGTTTATTACGTTAAGAATAATCATCTTCTGATTAAGCAGAGATGGATGGTGGATAGCATTGGAATCCAGGATGCGCGTTTTGTTCTAGTTGGGACTCGTCAGCTGGATGCACCTACATCCTAAAGTTGATTTTTACTCCAGGGTTCTATTACTAGCTTATAATGCTTGTGATTTAAGGTAATATCGAGGCAATCTGCACAGGATGCACATATGCCAATAAAATATTGATCAATTGCAGTCCTAAACATCAATGGAAACGTTTAATACACCAATACAAAAATGAATTACGTCGTCTGACTAGTAATTTTTCTTTTTTATTCCCAAGTCTATTACTGTTAGTAATGTGAACAGACTAGTTGTATTGGATTTTTAACTTCTCCCAGGGAATAGCAAAAGCTATCTTGCCAAGAGTTGCTTTCTTTCTTCGTGGAACAATTACTGTTAAAGCATTGTTATCGTATAACAAGACCGTCCTATTGGAAGCGAGTAAATGTGAAATTTCTTTCCAGTCTGTAATCAGCTACGAGTAACATACTTCAGAAATACAACCACAAAAGTTTACTTCCAAGATTAGTTTAGTTACAAAATTTATAAAACACTTACCAGTAAATTTGCAGTTCTATAAGATTTTAGGAAAGTATTAATATTAGTAGTAATTTAAGTGCTGAACTAATAAGACTAGGAAGAAACATAAATATATCGGATTTTGAATTTTATCACATTATGGGGTAGAATTTTTATGATTTATGGATAAATTTTCGATCATTAAAATAAAGTAAAAGAGTGCTAATCGACTAGATGATAAGCAGTGATACGAAGGGGCTTAGTGAAGTTGACCCTTAATTCATATGGCGTCAGAAGACAAGACAGCTGTGCAGTAGAATGTAAATGGGAAGCTATTATTAGCTAACGGAATCAAGAATATGTGTACAGCTCATCCATAAATATCGACGCAGCTTGGTCACCATATTACACTGAGGGTTGATTCTCAAAAGTATTGATTAAATAAAAGTAACTTGGACAGTGTTCAACATCTTGGTAAGTTTTATTAGGGACATGGACTAACACGCAAGCAAACACTTAAAGTTTCATTGATTAGTGCACAAATGAACACAGTAAATACATACATAAGTATATAAATAGAAGAATTTAGCCGTCATTATTATTGAGACAACTTACTTGGTGTAATTATAAAATTGTCAGTCGTTTCATTGGTGACACCGACTTTATTATTAGTCACACAAGTAGTAACACTAGATAGACTATTCTCTTTTTCGCACTGATATTGTTGTTGATTATTACGAATGAGTGAGTTGTTTTTCTCAGTCGATAAATCAGTATGACATTCTGAACAAACACGTACACGTGATGAACCTTGATAGGGAAGTATCCAACGATAAGTAGAACATTTATCACAAACAACTTTGCCACAATGTCGACAATGATGCTAAAATAACAGGAAAAATGGATATGAAGGAAAAAAAGATAATAATAATAAAAACAAGTGTAACTAAGTAATCCAAATGTACAGTTTTTTCAGCTCCACATTTGAGCCTTGAATTTTTAAAGCGAGAGCTACTAATACTATTTGCGTAATGTAACTTATTTGCTAAGAACAGGTTTGTTTACTTAGTTTTCAGCCACATAGCTTGTGTTAGAACTAGTGATAAGAATAATCGATAACTGAGTAATGAACAGAGTCATATTTGTAAAGTCTTTTTAATGTTGATACAATTCAATCGATCAAGTTGCATTTCTGCTACTATTCTAAGGGACTTGACATCACACACATTGTGTTGAGATGTAAGGTGGTAGTTGGAAGTGGTCGACAGGAAACTTTGAACCTAAGTTTCGAGTAAGTTACTACTACCCAGTGTCTCAGACCAAAGTGAGTGTAGTAGGAAACAAGCTTGAGATTAAAAGATTGAAATGTCGGCGCTTTAATAATTAAACCCGTGGTTCATTGTTACTAATATGACAATTAGCTAATAAAGTAAAGCCTTTCTGGAGACCGCACAGTACAGGGACGAGCTTAGAACAACTACAATGAATTTCCAGCTAGTTATTGATCAATTAAAAAAACACTTTGTAAGTGCATGGTTTATGTGAAAGATACCAATAATATTACAAAGTGTATGCAGATTTTGCATATTTAGTGGGTCTATTCAAGTCTGCTACAGGTAACTCTCCGTAAATTGAAGGAACAATGACAAATATATACGTCATTATAGACGTAGATTATCTGTCTTTTGGATAGTTCTAAAGACCCACACAGATTTTTATGAGATCCCACTTTGTTCCCAGTGAGGGTTAGATATTTATGGTACGGATATAGGGTTTAGAGTTGCAACTTTCATCACAAACTGATTATCAGCCAATAACGAGAACACTTTCTGTAGCCAAGCAGATGGATGAATTTCGTACAAAAATACAAGAGTCGTTTTTTGATCTAGTGTCAATAGGTTAAGGTTTGTTTCAGGATTAAAGTTTTAGGGTTAGAATTTAAAAACAGTGTCTAATCGCCTGTTATATACAACCTATGGAGAAAGATATTGAGTATATGAGACATTTAACCCCATCATTTTACTGTGTGGTAGCGGAAAGTAATTTTTTATTGATTTAAAGGTCTTGAGTACTATACAAAGGTACTTATAATCTTTGTTATACGTGGTATTTGAATTTTGCACCAAAACCCGAAAGTTGAGTTCTTGATTATGGTGAGCTTGATCCCATACTATATGGCACTACCTTTCTAACCAATAAAAACCAATTCGATTCGTTACACATCATGCAGAAACAAACACGTTGCTAGGGTTTTAGATCGTACTTTTCATTGTATACAAGTAGGACAATACATATTATAAGTGAGCAGTTCCTCACATAGATGATAAATGTTATTCAATATTCACAAAAAATAGAGCCAGTCTTCTGACACTAATCTTCCATTTATAAAATTATTTCTGTGATTTCTTCAGTTATCCCTTCTAGAATATTCGTATAACTGTGTGAATGATTCCTTTGACTCTTCAACGTAAATAGTTTTAAAAACCTACATTCATTTCAACATGAACAATTTAATCAATAATTTTGTGATATAAAGTATTCTACACTCATGTTATGTAGACGAAAGTACATGGTGATTGATCGATATTTCCAGATAGACAGATATCTGATTCTATTATTTTATTTTGCTACCGTAGAATATACGTGATAGTCTCGTAAAGTGTTCTTGATCTAAACTGGCTTAACGTGTGAGTGATAGGATGCTTGATTGGGCATCTAGTATAGGGTGTAAAGATCTCATATCTGATGGAATCGTTCCATTGGTCGACCTAAGAAATAGAGTGCCCCATTTATGTAATCGGGAAGACTTAACTTTATTACGCTGTTTTTCTTTGTTTTTATAATTAATGTAGCAATAATTTTCAGGTTATGAGCAATTGAACTAAATTCACGAAATAAATAAGATTACGTAATAACTCTGTTAAAATTATTGTTCTTGTTTTACCAAGGCATATATGACGAGTTTTTTCCATGGTAGCTGGTTACCAACGATTGATTCATACGCCATTCCTCCTTAAGGATACTGGAGCCCCTGTGCACCATTGGTTTGGAATCAGAGTTTTCCAACTCCCCTAGGTGGACCCTCCATGTCCATCAACCCGGTTAAAGCGCCGGACATTCACTTTTAGTCCTCTCAATTTCGTAAACAACACCCCCACCACGAGAAGGCATTGAGTAGGACTTCCCTGGCAGAGGCTATATACGCGTGGCCATGTGAGAGCATTTCGAGAGACAGAGCGGTCTCTCCCCACTCTCCACCGTACCAGGGTATTTGCAGGCATTTACAGAATATATTATGACTATATATATATAATTAAGTTACCTATGAACACGTTGACTGACCCGAAAACAATACTGACAGTAACAATTTACACAAAATAAACATTAAAATTTCATCCATAATAAAGAATCATTATATTTAATAGGCTTTCTCATATGATGATCAATTCAAGAAAACGATACAACTAAATAAACACGGTGTTATTTTAGACTAATAGTTTACGTTGAACTATGTTAGTACTTAGAAAAGGTATGATTTCAATTATTATGGTATCGTAATTGCATGTGACCACAGTATAAACTTCCGATGTAAACATCCCATAACAGCACTAAATTAAGTAGTAAAATTTCATCAAATGAAGTTTTCTAAACAAAATTTCTTTTTTTTAAAAAAAAAAATTGAATATGAAAGTATAGAAATCTGGTTTTAGTCGATTGTTTGTTAATTCTTATGCCTAATAAAATTTAAAATGGATTCGTTTATTATTTATCAACATTAAATTATTTTTCTATTCCTCTTAAGCTGACTCTTCTAATTGTAAGTATGGTTTTGAAGGAGGTTTCTGGTAAAGCGGAGTGACCAGAATTAAATAAATGTTCCATGACTGAGCTTTCGATTGACTCCTATAATCCTTTCGAAATCCAGGCTTGCTTTGTGAAATCAATATAGCCTGCTCCGTATGAGCAAGTAAACTGATAGACGCACGTTGATTCAGCCTAAAGAAAAAGTTTAACATTTAACTTGCTCATGTGGAACAAATTACATTGGCCGCATAAAGCGAACTCTATCAAAATGAATATCCAACATTACTTTGCCTGAATTTCTAAAGGATTACAGAAATTAGTTAAAAGCCCAATCTTAAAAAATTCTATCTTGAAAATAATTACAAAATGCATGACAGTTAGCTAGTAAGACAACGTTTAAGAAATTCTCTCCTTACAATAACTGTTCACCTTCAATAATACAGACATTTCTATTAACCATTCACTTTTCACAAAATAAATGAAAGGTGGCTAGCAGTAGAATTAAGGACCTGTATTTCGTCCTACTTGGAACTAGTCAGCTGGATGTACGCACATATGAGAGTTGTTCATTCCAGGATTCGATTACAGTGCCTTCTGTTTCGAACGCCAAACATGTTATCCATTCATTCGTCAAAAATGGAGATAAATTCCAGTTTGATTTGTAATGGTTCTTTCTGGATTGTCCCATTTTTTGATATATTTCAATCAAAAATATCAACGTGGTACAGTGGGCCAATCAAAAGTAGTTAAACGAGAAGACCATGTTTCAATTTAAAATCTCTGGATGACAAGTACATGTTATTGACCAAGAAATGTTTTTTTTTCTAAAGTGAACATTATATATATATATATATATATATATATATATACATTTATATGAGTGCTCTTGCATTTGATTCCGTTTAGCCCACCAAAGTTCTTTTTCATTAATAAAAGGTTGGGAGCTTGCACATAGGAACTTTTGTGTATCAGTATCAGTTTCGGACATCGCACGTCATAACACAACTGAGTAATACAAAACTACTACAAGTTGAATTGACCATCCATTTATAAATAAACTAAACAAGCCACAAACATACAAACCTCAGCTTTACTCAACTATATTATTTTTCCCTCCATCTCTTTCAAATGTTAACCATATTTGAAGCACTTTAACATTTAGCTATAAGGTATAACCATCGAAACAAATGTTTACTAGGCGTGGAATAATATGAATTACAGGTTTATGTACTATGTCTTAAGTTACATTTTTCGTATTGTGATTTGTGATGTACTATCCAGTTTCCGGATCGAAGATGATGGGATGAGGTTTGAATCTCCAGCCTGTCAGTCAAAAAATGAGTATTTCAACCACTAATCGACTGTTTTACAAGTCAAATATAGCTTATTCATGAAGGAAATATATTGTTAGGTGTAGAATTCTTATCAGTAGAAGATTAATTAAGTATTCGATGCTTAAACTTAGTTGTGATAGCGACACTGATGTGAAGAAAACTTCTGGGTAGTAAGGTTGGGGTTTTACACGTAAACACATAAACTTATTTCTAGAACTTTAGTATTGATAACAGAATGGGGTGACCATGAAAAAACGGGAAAATGTCAGACAAAGTGTTGTTGGTTAAATGATTGTCTGCGTAATTTAAAGTTTGACAGTACTTTAAAATTTGACGAGTTGATTATTTGAGAGTACGAAACAGTATGTGGACTTTCTACTCTTCTTCCTTTAATTTTGCATTCAGGTTGACAATCGCGTCGTGTTAAGTTTATGAGCTATGCGGGAAGAAGTCTATACTTTCAGCAAATTCGATGCATGTTTATCACATCGTGTATCAAACGCTAAAGCAATGTATATAAATAATTAGAACAAATTTAAAACACTTTAAACAACTTACTCTTCGATGAACAAGATTGAATTCAGTAGTACCACATACCATACAGTGAGATGCTTCTGAGTCTGGAATCCATATTGGAGATTTTTTAACTGAATCGTATTGCATACCTTCATTAAGGTTAGAAATTTATGAATGGATTCATCAAATAAAACAGATAAAAAGAATTAATTATTCAGACTCAAATGTACTGTCATTGTGTAATAACTTATCACAGATGTAGCAACTAAATACGATCTCGTAATGAACTTGCCCATTTATTTATTGTTTAATAAGATGTGATTGAAAATGAAGTAAAAAGCATATTTCACTGTATCTTGTGAATTGGTCATACCTAAATTCTCTGGCTGATTTCCTTTCTTTAACAGAGATCTAACCACTAATTTGTAATAGACCCTTCTTTAACAAGTATTATATGTTACTTAATGACTTATTAACTTCGAGATAAAACTTCGGAGAATGTAGACAATCGAATATGCACTCAGCTAGTCAGTTAGACAGTAGAGAATCTGGTATATGTGTATATCAATTCAAGTTGCCATACCTCATTAGTACAGCGAAATAAGATTGTTGGTATAAATCTAGTAGCATTAGCATAAGTAGTATTAGTATTAGCGGTGATAGAAAAAATTAGGCACCGAAAATAACATTCGGGAAGGAAATATGGATTTGTCCAACAAAACAAATTTGCAAGGTAATTTAAAAATAGTGAATAGACCCATACCACTGCGAACGATTTTAAGCCATATTACCTAAAGTCTCCAACCATAGGTTACGGTAATCACACGAACCCCACTTAGGTGGTCTGCACCTCCCTAAATGGCTCGGCCCAACATTCAGTGTCTTTATGGACAGATAACACGTCTATGTTTAACCACCCTTAATTTTTTGACGACTTACCCCTACATCAGACAACATCTGACGTTTCGACTACGCCATAACTGAGTTGGTAAAAACCAAAATGAAATGTATGATGGTGAATGTCAGCAATAGTCCAAAAAATAAAGGATAAAGAAGATGGAGAAAATCTCAATAAGGATATTCGTCAGGAAAAATTAAATAAGGGACTTAATTAATCTTTGGGATACTAACTAAATCTCAGTGGCATTCAAAGGCATCAAACCCAAAACTTTCATGGTAGAAAACACTATTTTGCTTAGGCCTATCAATCATTATGCTTTCAAGTTGGATAGACATATGGGCTCAAAATCATTTCTTAAAATGCCAATTGCACTGCACCATGTACACGACGCAGTTTCAGCTGCCAACGCCTTACTATGAGAATCTAGGTGTATTTGAGTAATGACCATTCACAAACGTGAAAAAATTATGTAAAACCTCTAACAGGGGCAATTTAAACCAGAAATTTTGACTTGAGTTAAATATCAGCCACTGGTAAGGATGCTAAAATGTGCTTTTGATTGAGAACCTAGTATAGTAGGATGTGACTAAAAAGGCTCAAAGCATTATAATTCAAACAATTATTGCAGTTGGGGTTCTAGATATCTGAACTTCTTTATTAGTTCCCAGTTACCATCCTACTAACAGGTTTTTAATGATACAAAACATCAAAGTTGCCCCAAATAAGTTACGCTCACTTCCAATTTTAAGCGACAGCAACTTTCCTTCACTTCAACTAAACCGCTGCTTATACTTTATTTGGCAATATTAACCAAATGATCATTTACATGTAAGATTAACGGGAACTAATGTTTAGCACTCATTGAAGAATATTCAAGTAAGCGTTGGGAATTTTCATAACACAAAGGAACTAATGTTGATAAGCAGAAGGGTCCTTAAAATGTTATCACTAGTCAAAAGTGCAACGAATGTAATTCACCTGTGAAAGATTTTGGAAAATATATGGATAAAGTGAAGAATTTTAAGTTCCTTAACTTTAGGAATTGGGGTTTACAACTAATGACACAAGACTTAAGGCGAGAGTCATCCTGAAATACTAGTGAACGTGGTTGTTGAGGCTACATCACGAATGCTACTATGAAATGAACTAGTGAGATTGAGCTTCTCATGAGTGAAACGAAAAATATTGTAAAGGCTCAAAGTGAGGTCAAGCAACACAAACTCTTTATAAATGATGGTTTGCAAAGTGACGTTAACAGAAGCTAATAATATCGTGCTTATTCAATAGGTTACTAAAAATATATCGTTTTTAGCTAGAGCTAACGAGTAAATTCCTTTAGGTAGATCTAGTTAGAGAAACATTGAATGACAATAGGTATATTATAGGGATTAACCTGATCTATCGTTTGGTCATTGAAAAAATCTAGTTTTATGTGGTTAATTACAAGAATCTCATAAATAGATCTTATTTAATCTGTCACTTTCGACACATCCTATTTGCATAAATAAACATTTGTTTGAAACTTTCTTAACATATACTGGCTTTATCAAATCATAAACTGGATGTAATTGTCTCAAATACCTAAACAATGTGTTGTAAAAAAGTGAATATTCTAGTTGTTACATGACTTACCAGAAGAAGCAGAGCTTGAAATACATTTCTTCAGATGAATCACCCATTGCGTTTTCTCTTCAGAAGTGCTTGCATAAACCGTGAATGACTTTCTTGGACTGAGAATTGAAAATCCATTCCGGTAGACTAAATTAGTTAGACTATAGACTTTACTTACTCCCATTGTCCACAACATTCTTAACACAGGAGTCAGCGAGGTCTATGAACTGAGGGTTACGAAGCTGTGGAATTCAGAATTAAATGAAGCTTACAACTTTCCTATTTACTACAATCCTTCCATAGATTAACACATCACTAAATAGGAAAAAGTGCCTTAGTTTCGGCCTTCTTCTACATATCTTTGTCAAAACACCTTCCCCAACTAACACGCGATTTGAAGTTACTAGTTTCTACAAATGAGTCTATATATTTAAACCAAACATACATTAGACGGGAAACCAAAAAGCTTTTCGACTTCGAAAATACGTTCTATATTTTGTTTTGGATCATCTTGAGTTTATGTGATATATAAAAAAGACAGTAGTAACCTACAAAACACTCCATTATCCATTGCAGGTAACCAGATTATTTGTGGTTGACAGGTATCCTGTCAGGAACTGCAGTAAGAAGTGAAGTCTTCAAGGTAAGAAACAGAAAAACTACCATGAGTGATAATCCATTAAGATAATCTAGAAAAAACAAATGTTAAAAGTCATATGGGAGCCGAACCGAGTCAAACAGTTCTTCCCGAAAAACCGTAAAATAAAACTAATACCAAGACAACTGATACTAAGAGGTCTGAGACTTCAAACAAAGTGGATTATTCAGATGAAGTTAAGCAATTGACAAACTGGTGAATTTCTAGAGTCAACTAAAGTTAAGTTGGGGAAGTTTTCGAGACCCAGATTTGCAAAGCAACTCGTTATATTGGAGGAATGATAATATCTTCAGACAATACCCTCATTAATGACTGTTGAAACAAGATTTCGAAAGTCTACATTGCTGATATACATTACAAGGACATATTATTTGATGAATCAGGGTTCTATGGAAGAGAACATCATGGTTCCTGCCAGATACAGAAAAGTTTAGTCTTCACCATGAAGACCGTGGAGTAGAATATAATTGGTCTAAAAACTAGTCCTCTCAGTTTCTCCCTATCAAAGAGATGAAATAATGAAAATAGGACTTGGTGCATTTCTGGAAGCAATGAAGTTCTCAGTTAAAAGTCCAATCTAAAAGCACCACCGTTCTTAAATGTCGCTAAGAGATAAGCAAACTTGATAGGATGCATGAACGTTCCAAAGTGTCGATGAATCTTCTATTCCTGTGATGCCAGAGGAAAATAACACAGAATAGAGATTCTACCAGCGGCCACACGGAAATCACACGATCAGAGACGAATCAAAGTAAGGATATAAGTTCTAAAACTAACTTTTAATGTTGTGCTTACGTGGCAGTTTATGGTAACTCATCTTTATGTCAGACTTCAATGATAATGACTGATTTTACAACTGCCGACAGTTTGAAAGATTTGCAAAAAACGGATAGGACAATTTAGGTAGATCAGAAACAGTACAGCCACAAATTCTATTGATGAATAACTACAATAATAAGATATTCATACAAATAAAATGATAAGGATGATAGCGCGTTGGGAGCTCCATAGCACAGGCTTTGTACCTACCTCAGGGCTACAAAGACAAAGTTCAACCTTACAGAGTGTATTAATTCACTGAAGGCGGCGGCAAATCGAAAACCACCGAAACTGTACAAATAACACTTCAAATATGTGTTTAATTTGAAGCATAACTTAGCTGCTACATGCTATATGTTGATATCATAAATATTAATGATTGTTAGCATCCTGTCACTACAGTCATTGTTACTCATTTATGAAATCCTGATCCCTGTAGTCAGCTTTGAGCCACCCTTTATGTATGAGAGGTAGTGGTACTTTCCCGCTGCCCAAGACGAAGTGGGTTGAATGGTACTCAAAACTAAAGTTCAGTAGTTGGAAATCGAAACCCACTGACCACTAATCTATTGCTTCAGCATTGCAGGCTATTTTCCGTTCATGAAAACAAACCACAACAAGAAGCCATTTACAAAAATCACAGCTTTAAAGTGATCATATCTAGCAGCATGAAAGAAAAAAATGTCCACCCTACTTCCAACAACACTTCCTGTAGGCATATCCAATAAGTTCGATAAGTATTCCGAATGCTTAAACCGAGAGGTGGCAAACTCGGAGAACAAGAATGTGGTATGCAATTCTTTTACCACGAAGATATTGATATCATATCAACAGGAAACTAATGATTTCGCCAATAAACTTATTTGAAAGAGTACAACCAAACCTTCCACTTACCGATGGTCGTTAAACTAAACCATCGAGGCTGTTAGGATTAAAATAATGACCATAAACTCACTATGTGCAATTTATATAGCAGGGCTGGGTAGCATTGTGAGATTGCAGTGGATACTCCTATTTGGAGCTAAAATCGTCACTTTGAAACGAGAATAAAAACCCATTTCTAGTTTCGTGACGAAAAACTGATAACATCAAAGCAGATAACAAGAAAGCCTTATTCATTACAATAAAGACTCTATAAGAAACAATGTTATGGAATTTTATGAACTTCTCGTTTAGCTTGAAACAAACTTAGTTGCATCATATGATTGTTATTGGGTCGAATAAAAAAATATTTTGTACCACATAAGTGCTTGAAAACATTAAGAAATTCATTTACACTATTCGACCATTGTCACAAGACGCCAGTATATTATTCTCTCGGAACATTTGTGCGAAAGTAGGATAATTTTTAGGTGTGTATAATTCGCTAGAGGACTTCCGTATAAATTGAACATCGGTCGCATGAATCTGTAGGAGAGTTGGCTTTAGGGAAGTTAATACTTTATAAACCTTAAAACCCACGAGCTGTTTAAAACTAACATACATTATCGAACTTTACTACATTTAGATTAAATATTTGCGCTCTTAACTACGTGTCCCAACTTTTGAATTTCCTCGAAGATGTTTAGTTTATCCCTAAGAAATTCACATGTCATACTTCCGAAGTGTCCGAAGAACCAAAAGGCTATTTCAGATATCGGGATTTGAATACAAAACCTGCCGGAGTTGTTTTCCGCCACGAAGAATAAAACGATACAGATGCTTTAGTGGTTTTTGAGTGGTTCACTACTTTTGATCTAAGGTTAGGTCATGACAAAAACATATTCATTATAAAATCTCTATCAAACACTCAATTCATTTGGAACTATGGTTTTAAATATGTATATAAATTCCAACCTTGGTATTAATACCTATAGACTAGAAACTATTAGAACTAATTATTTCTACACTGCCCAGGTGAGACCTTATTTTTAAAGACTTTTGAAGATTTAAACTTTGCTCACCATCCTTGGGATTGGTGAAAAAGTAATTGAAAAAGTAATCGTCTTCCAAATTGTCCGCGCTGATTCAAGGTCAAGCTTGTCTACACGACCTTGACAACGGATTATTATTTATCTTGGTGATAGCTATGAAACATCGTTATTTTGAAGTTCTGAACCCCAGCTTTCCACATATTTACTTTCCAATTGTTTGCTCTATTTATAGGTGACACGTAGTTGTTGATGTCCACATGGAATGCCGGAACTATGGTAGTATGGTCATTCATGCCTAAGAGTGTTGTTTGTGCGATATCCTTTAGAAAATAAGGAAGTTTTTACCGACGTCTTTCAATGAAGGAGACAACTTTCGAAATGCATACCTTAGTTCATCCGGTTGTCCGAGTGAAAAAACCGCTTGTTTACAGAAATTCCCATCATAATTCTCCACAGCATCAACAGATTGAGCATTCAGACCACTTCTATTGTGAATAGCATGTATGATAGCTCGCGAGTAAGACCATATGGAATTCACTAGCTTTCTCAGTGCTCAACAAGTCTTAATGTTTATTACCACTGCCTGACATTTTTAATTAAAACTCAGTTCATAAAAGCTTTTTCAAACTATATCCTCTCCGTATGAGCTAGTTAAATCCAACTGGTTTCGTTTATGTATTCCTTAGAAAACTTCATATTATTATGAATGAACTTCAAAATACCTTGATATACAAACAGATCCAAGTTGTGAGATGTTGAAGATTTGTAGCTCAGGTGGATGATTTTGATGGAGTTCTATTCTCCGAGCTGAATGGTTTGATCTTGAAGCTTCCATCGTCTTTCTGAACGACATCATCAGCACAAACTTCAGGTAGAAGTGAAGTGTTCGGATTTCTCCACATATGGCTCTTAGCTTGTCCTGCAGACCTCGATGTCGGTTGATTATTGTTGATCTTAAACTTATAATTGTTTGCTTTTTTTAGTTGTATCTCCCAATGCTTTGATTTCTGGTCTAATGTTTGTTCATAATTTTTCTGATTGGTTGATAAACTGGATAGATTACAAGGTGCTTGTTGATTGCTTAATTACCTGAACGCCATGCTTCTAAAAATTATCTGTTTGTAGAATTGCCTTTATCTGAGATTATTACATTTCTTCAATAGAATGTATGTCCTCATTTGTCTACGTGCATTGACATAAGTGAAGATATGTCGTGGCGTTTGGACGCCAACTGATGTCCATGCAGGCGAAGATGAAGAGGGCATCCGCTTTTTCCGATGTAATATTTTTCGCAGTTGGCACAACTTATTTTATAGATGATGTTCCACTTTCCTTATTTTGCCATTTTGTTCTTTGGTTTGCATGGGATTTATTGCAAGGATTTTGTTGGTTTTTGTGTTACACTTACTCCGTAAGGTTTCAACAATCTCGTGGATTCTGAGTGTCTTCGTCAGTATGTTCTACCAACAAGTGTATGATAAGGACGTCCAACCAAATGCCCAATATGGTGGAGAATAGCTGAGCAAAGTGTAAGAGAAATGGTGCACCTAGTGACAACTGGTGCATACTACAGGACCCACGAATACCAACTCGTCATAGCGAAAACTACAAAGGATACTCACACCAGGACATTTGGAAATCTTGACAACAGCCACCGAGATATCATGCAAACGACACAGAAAACAAGAAAGAAACACCCTGAAGAAGAAACCTATCAAGATCTCTAACCCATCCATGGAAAAAACACAAAACAAAACTTGTTGAAGCGGCCTCTAACAAACACAGAGGAACATCTACCCCAAAAGGGACTTAACTACAACGCAAGTGACACCTCAAAACTAGAATTCTTCGCAGCACTAGAGTCATCACTGGAAATTGCAGGAATAAGTGAGGAAACTCGACAGGAAATAATACAAACCATAGTAGCACTAACTCGACGAATGAAAGACAACACTCAACTGGCTTTACAAGAACAAAATACTCTAAAGGAAGATATTGTCATAGTTCCAAAGGACAAAGGCTCACTACAGTGATTATGGGCAAGGGAGAATGTATCAAGAAAGCCGGGGAAGTACTTGAGGATAAAAGCGTATACAAACTGGTGGACACAAATCCAGTAACAAGGTCGTACAACCGAATCTCAAAGACGTTAAATAAGCTCGTCAAAGAATGATAAACACCAGAACAAGATCTATGGAGAACGAAATACAATGGGCCAGTACTCCCTCGACTCTACATTAGGCCAAAAATACACGAACGAAACATCCTACTACGCCCAATCTAGCACTCCTCGGAACTTCAACATGCCATTCGTCGAAAGAAAGTTTACGCATATTGAAACATTTGGTTGATTCATCCAATCCCGCTATCAAGTTCCCCATAGAATTCCTCGATCAGATTAATGACATTCAAGCCAAAAACGATGAAATGATGATATCTTGGGATGCGACAGCCTTATTTACTTCAACTGAACCAAGATTGGCTAAGGAAACTTTGTCCTTGCTTCTCACCAACGGCACAAATCTCGTAAAGTACGCGAAACTTCAAAGTCAACATTTACTAGAACTCATCAATTAATGCCGAACGACATATTTTCATTTCAACAACAAAATGTACGAACAAATGAAAGGAACACTGATGGGATCACCAATATAAGGACTTATCGCAGAACTGCAGAGATTACTCTTCCACCTCATCCTGTTATATGATATCAAATACACTTATTTCAGGTGATCAGTCATTTGTTTTTACGGTATTTCTTCATATGTCCGACTGTAAGAGCATAATTATATCGGAATATGCTGTTGACCTAGAATCATTTCACAACGAGCTGAAGTAGATGATGAACGTCCTTAATCCCGCATTTTCGCTAGGAAGATCAATCACAGGTTTCTAAAACGTATTCCACAGTATGAAGCGCTTTAGTCATAGTACATCAGTTTTTATTTGGCCAAAAGTGTACTTACAAATGGTTCAAATGGTCCTAAATTAAATAAAAGCTTTCGTTTAAGGGACTTCCGTAGTCATTAGAAGGTGACCTCTGAGATTCACTTACTATAAAGGGTAAAGGTTCAGTGACTGGTGGCTCCCTTCATAAGACTCTGACCTCCTTCTTTATGATAATTCTCAGTTTCTTGTTCTTTCATTCAGTGCTCGCTATCCTCAATGAAAATAGTGTGCCGTCTGTGTGAACCAATAATTATTTTGTACCTGATTCCTGGTTGATTTTTAATTTTAAATACAATACGTTTGTTTGTGCTCATCTAGTTCTATTGAGCCTAAATTGCGCTGTTTCGGGAATCACTAGTCAATGCAATAATTCAATTACTTCTAATTATTATAATAAATCATCTGGAAGCTCTTTGACTCCTTGCAAGTTCAAATATTGTACTTACTGCCGAGAAGTAGAGCGAATCATTCAAACGTGATCACTTTTTAAGCCACATTTTATTCATATCCGATATACGCCATGGAATAGGGAACATATCATTATCTATGACCGTTCAAACATTTAAGCATGTAAATCTGAGAATGTGTCTTGATATTAATAATGACCCTACTTGATTTACATTAAACTATGGATCGCAGAATTATCACAGAATTACCATCCCATGCGGATGCTAACTTTGAAGAAATGTCAACAAACATTTTCACTGATTTACACCAACCGCTTACACTCAAAATCACCTGAGTTGATTCCATTCCGATAAACATTACATGGAATCTGACTTCGGTATCAGGTTGACATAGCAAGTTATTTGAAATATTAGAACTTTGTGGATGGATCAAACAAGTACGAAGTCGACGACAAGGAATAATGTACTATATTTAATACATATAATCAGCATCGACTCTATCTCAGTGCACGTCACTCATGAATTTTTTATGAGTGATCATAGAGTCATATTGAGTATTATCCATTTTCCAAACACCATGCAACTGAACTGTAAAGCTAAAAGAGTGTGCCAAAGCAGGCAGTTTGATCAACAAACCTGAAGGTGAACCGAAACTCTCATTCGGTGCTTACCATGGAAATCTTATTCCACAATAAATAATATTGACACTGCGCTTTCCGACTTATACCGCAACCTGACACGTTGTCTCGACTGCATTGCTCCAATTATTGACCATGTAGCTTATAATGCTAATGAGGGCCAAAATTCCTTTCAAGCCTTTAAGAGAAGGCTGAGAAAATCGAAATGTCACTATCACAAGAATCATGACGTGTATGTGCTTCAGAGTATTTTCAACTCGATCTAAAGTAATGATTCATCTAAATGCAAGTCTCTCACGACTGTGGAGAATAAAGCCCTTGGTACTAAAAGCACAGAGTTATCAATACTTCGGCTTTCCAAATCCCGTGTGATATCGAATTCTCTTAGTATAACCAAATTCCTCATAGTTAAAGGAAGAACTGTTGACGACCCTGATACTGTTTGTGAACAATTCAGATAGCATTTCTCGGAATGCCTCAACATCGAAACCAAAATATCTATCAATATGTCTCCAATGTTATCATATAAACATCGACCCGCCAACATCAGGCGGGACACAGCTTTTCTGAAAACGTACTATGACGGTGGACCTGGTGGGATTTCTTCATCATTTGTGAAACATGGTAATAGAGAACTTCCACTACTTTTCACAAAACTGTTCGATCTATCTATAGACTATAGAGCCTATTCATGTATGGAAAACATCTCTTATCACCCCTAGATTCAGAACAGTATCATGTAGAATTACTATCAACTAAAGGCTCATTAACTTGACTTCTGTGTTTTCAAGAACCATGGACAAGATCATCCACGAATAGTGATTATCATTCTTTCTTTCGTCTAGCCTGATTGGCCCATTTCAACCCGGGTTTATGATTAAACATTGAAGCTGGACATCACACCTGGTATTTCTTGATCAAGTTACACAAATAAGAGATGTCGGTCAATCAGTGATAATTCTGTTCTTCGACTTTAGCAAGGCCTTTGACAGTGTCTCACACAAGCTTCTTCATCTAAAACGTTCTTCATTTAGTATACGGAATCTTCCTTATCTCAGCTCAAATATTTTGTAGCAGAACGTAGCGAAATTATTCGATTCGTATCTTCCTACTTTAGGCCTGTGAGTGTAAGCAGTGA